CGCCCTTGGCCGAGGCAGCCGCCGCGCCGCCGCCGGAAGGCAGGCCCGCCGCGCCGCCAGGCCAGATCGGCCGTGCCACGCCGCGGGGCTCCGCACCGCCCGCACGGCGCAGGCAAGAGGGAAGACCCCCGCCACCGCCATCAGCCCCGGGCTATAGCCGGCAGCGTCCTTCGGCGGCGGCGGAGGGAGGGGAGGACGGATGGGGACCCCCGGCGGCTAGGGTTTTAGATCCCGCCCGAGTCGCCCGAGCGGGGGCGACGCCTTGAGGCATTGCGATGGTTTTCTTTTCGTTTGTATGATGACCTTGTCAGAAAACTCTAGCACAAAATGAACTCTCTTGAATTTTATTTTACGATCTAATCCTTTTCAGCAACGTCACAATTCATAATGTTTCTGTTGAACATAAAAATGCCAAACCCACACGCGTACCTGGCTGGTCCACCTCCAGATCTCACTGGCGTCGCTTGCGGATGTGGTAACCCAGAATGCCAAACTCAGTAGCGTTTTCACAAACGCCATGGCCCACGGCATTCCTGCCCTAGATAAGTATATGAAACACGAAGGCAAATGGCTACGTTCTTATGTACTATAAAGCAACAATGCTATATGTTCCTACGTAGGACAGAAATGGCCTACATAGGAACATAGCTGAGTTTGGTATTTCAGGCTGGCACATCGGCAAATGACGTCGACGAGGCCTGATGGTGGGCCAGGCCAGCAGTAGGGAAGAAACGTCATGGTTTATGGCGTTTGTGAAAAGGGTCAAATCGAGAAAATAAAATTCGAATGAGTCCATTTTATGCTAAAATTTCCTGACAAAGTAAAAAAACAGTGATTTCGATCGCTCTGGTCAATCCAACCGAGATACCCGAGGTGACAGCATCTCCTCCCGGAACATCATGTCATGTCGTGGCCGCGCCTCCCGCCATCCCCTGAACAAAATCGTTCCTCGACGGCGAGCGCGAGCGAGCAGCAATCGCCTTCTTCCTTAGTTGCCAAGGCATCGAACCCGGATATCTCATATAATCGAGATGCCGTACGTAAAGCCGGCAGTCGGCACACCGCTCCATACGTCCGTGTCAGCCCACCCATATTCCCCGCTCCCCGACTATGCTCCTAGTGCGCCGGGAATCCCACGGCCGGCCGGCCGGCCGGCCAGCCGCCGTGGCGTGCGTGTAAATTCATTCGTTGCTATCCGAATCGCTCCGTCACCCCCGTGGCTGACGGCTGTTACTACTTACTGTCACCCATCCGCGCGCTCTCGCCGTCGGGCGCACGCCGCCGCTAGCTCCGGCAGCGCGTATCCCGGTGGATCAATTGGCGGGGGTGGGGAGTGGAGTAGCAGCTAGGCAGCTAGCTTCTGGTGATGTGTGGATAACGAAGGAATGTATTCCTATTCCATTCCCCTAGCCAGGCAGCACCTAAAACCTAGCTAAAATGTTCTGCTCAGCAAATACTGATGTTTACCTGGCCTTTTGTCACATCCTGATCGATCTGTTGCTGCATTATATGTTCGATTAGGCCGAGCCCATTGCATCTTTCAATCCACTATATCCGGTACCATCGATTCGTGCCGCAAGTGCGAATAATCTCGGGGTTCCCTGAAGATAATTAAGCAGGAGCAAGCGTGCAACGTTAGAACATTTCAGTGTTTGTGCCATGATCTTCTGAACCGGCGTATGTCGACAGCTATGAGGAAAAAAACAATGACAGTTTGGTACTATTTTTCAGAGGCTTTTCCCGGACTGCATGTGCCCCTCAACTTGAGCAGGCAGAGAATTTCTTGCCTTTTTGTTATTCGCGGTCAGTCATTCTCAGCTTTCTCTCTCTCACGACGCATTGTTACTTTGCATGCAGTTCTTGCAGTGTTCTGCGCTGACACACAAATGTACTTGTGTTTCTCCGAAAGGTGCCGCTTTTGCCTCTAAATCTGACTATATGTCTTCAGATCAGATTCCAGCACGCACTGCAGTCAATCTAAGCCAATGGTTTGTTGTACCTTGCTTGCTTACCTTGAGATGCCTTGCTAGAAAATTACTCCCTCCGTCTCAAAATAAGTGTCCTAACTTTGCATTAACTCTAGTACAAATTTGTATTAAGGTTGAGACACTTATTTTGGGACGGAAGGAGTACTTACCACCAAAGAAAAGCAACACATCTCTGCATATCGGCGGTATTTTCTGCAGGTATTTTCACTCTTTTCTGAAGAAACACATCTCTCATGCATGGAAAAAGGACAAAGCAGAGGAATATTATAGGAAAATGGCAGGGAAAATCTTTTGCAAGAAAGTAGTAGTAGTAACTTTGTTTCTCCGTATCTATCTTCGGTGCCGAAAAATGGCAAAATTATTCTTCACCGCCTAGGTAGGGCGCATCGATCGACTTCCGGGAAAAAACAAACCATATCGTTCTGGATTCTACCGCAAGTTTTTCCGAATCTGTCCTCTTTTTCCACAGCATCCTTAACATATAATCTTCCCCATTACCTCTCACAAGTGGCAAGTGCACGCTGTGGTAGTAACTCCAGTTCCATCACTGCAGTAGTATTCTTTAGCTTTTCAAATGACTAGCACCAAACCAAAATTTGTTCGCCAGCTTCCCTTTACATAAAGCTTGGGCTTAAACTAGGTGCCTGCAGGCATGACATTACTGGACCAGCTGCAATGGCAGTTTGTTGTCAAGACCTTTCAACAACTTTTCTTCATGAGAGGACAATTCGTACATCAAAACTAATCCAGGTCTCATCATTTCAATCCGACACGACCGATAGCGCATTACCACCGATCGACCTGAAGGCACTACCTCAAGGGGAAATTTCAATCTTCAGTGAGTGGTGCGCAATGATCACGGTGAGCTGCAAGGAATTATGAATTGATGGCTGGTGCTTAAAGATGACAAAAACTAGATCTTTCACCAGCATTTTTTTCCTTTCAAAAAGTGCGGCTCTGCTGCGATCGATCAAATAAAGATCTATCTGAAGAAACATGAAATGGAGTCATGGGACAGGGCCCCTGATTAAATCAAACCAGGAGACCTGGAAAACAGCTTTAGATTTAAGTTGCTTCATTGGTGGGCATAATGAGGACAAGGCCCTCGCCGAAAGAGGCCCCTATTTTAATCACATATAATTAAGTGTTAGGGCAGGCAACTGTCGCTCACTATTTTGACCACTGGCCACTTGATATATGAGGATTCAAATATATCTCCTCCATGTAAGAGGGGCAAAAGGTGGTGGACTGTGGCTTGATCACATAGCACATTTCCCCCGCATTAATTCTCGGCGCCGCATGTCAAACTTGTCGTTACACTCATTCCGATGATCCGATTACGTGTAGCGCATTTCCCAAGAATCGAATTCACACATCACCAATTCACTACAAGCTAACCCTAAGTAAGTAGGCAATTGATTCAGCGTTAGTCTACGAACCGAGGTATTATATGAAATCTGATCCATCCTACGCTAGCCAATCTGGCCACCAAGGACTAATCTACCCAGCAATGTCCTGTCAAATCCACCAATTAAACAAGAGGATTAAAGAATAGACAGATAGCCAGATACCATCAGAAAGAGCATTATTGTAGTATAAAGACTGTTCCAGGTTCCAAATTACACAGGAAAAAGCAAGAACATTGTCCTCTGAAAGCCACAGGACTAGGTTCATGCAACAGTGGTGTGCATGAAAGCCTGGACAGAATCAGCACAAGGCATAATATCATGGAGCTTTGGAGAGCGAGCTTAGCTTAGGCTGTGTAGAAGGGGGGAAGAAAAGAGGCGAAGATTTTTGGGAATATCTCAGGAACTTTTCTCCCCCAAACCTGACATGTGTTCCTGCATCAAAACACTTTTCCTGCCTTGTGCAACACTGTTCTTCTTCCCAGGGTTAGTCGCTAAGCAAGCAAGCGCTAATTTGGGGGGAATCAACTGCTAAACATAGGAAAAGAACATGCACTTAATTAGTTACATAATATTCTCTTAATTTCTTGTCGCATACTATATACGGTTTACGCAGGCATTGTCAGTGCAAATTGGCTAGCAGCTGAGAGTTGAGCTTGAGGAACAAATTCTGACTCTTGTCATGCTTAATTCTGACCACTGTTTTGTTGTCCAAGAATTTGTATTGTAAGAACAGGTTGAGTTGGGGTAACTGACCTACTCTGCATCTTGCAGAAATATGAGTAATGAGATTACTGATATACAACTATTTCTGCCATTCATTCAAGCAAGCATGTCAGCTCTGAGCCTCTGTTGCAACGCAAAAAAAGGCTCGACACAAGCATCATTCGCCTGCTCATCCTCCTCTTATGCCTCTGCATCTTGAGATTACTCCTCATAATCCCTCTCTTTTTCTCTGATACCAAGATTCCTCCTCTCCAAGAAGTGAAGTGGTAGGAGACTAGTGGTAGTGCTGATCCACGGCTCAGGTGGCAGAACAGGGGCATGGGTCAGTAGCCCCTTCCCCACATACCCCCCACATTTCAAGCAATAAAATGAGGAGGAAGGCAAGGTTACTTACCGCAGCCCACCATCTCCTCTCCTCCTTCCCAGATACCATTCCCTCCACCTCCCCCTATAAACCACCGCAAAGGACACTCACAGAGAGAGGCAACAGCACTCAGCAGCGAGCAAGAAACAAACGCTCGAGCAAGGCAAAGCAAAGCATTTTCCCAAGCTTGCCGTACGTGCAGTGCACTCTTCTCCTTCTCGCTTCCGGTGATATAAGTTGTTGCCGGAGTCGGGGGCCATGTCTGTGTCGTCGGTGCTGTCGTCGTTCCTGTACGGCTGCTTCAATCCTGCGGGCGGGCGGTACCACCACCACCGCGCCGGAGCCTACTACCACAGCAGCCACCCCACGAGCGCCGACACCATGTACTACAACCAGAGCGGGTTCGCCGGCGGCCGCAGGATGGGCCGGAGCAGCAGGCCGCTGTCCCTGCAGGTATACATCCTCTGCTTCTTCAACCTGCATGCATGCTCTGTTCTTCTTTAGAAGGAGTAGTAGATGGCTTTGTGCCTGCCCAGCTCTGTGATAGATAGGCATTGCATCAAGAAAGAAAAGCGAGATTTTCTTGTTTGTTCAGATGAGTATATGCAAGTACAGGAACCTGGTTTCTTATGCCGTTATGCGACGGCGACTAGACCATGCATGTGTCCAGATTATTCCCTGCCCACTAACCACACCACCACCACTATTATCATCTTGGCAGCTATTGGTAGCCTGTAGTAGACGTTAATCCACTTAGCAAAAAATTTAGACGAATCTTAACCAAAGAATTCATTCGCACACTCTGCATGTGTAGTCACAATCGCATATGTAATCAAGCTGCATGCGCCCTCAAAAGCAAGGAACAAACGACCCATAAAGAAGCTTTTCACTGCCTGTGCTCTGTGCTGTGTTCCAAACTCGGGACCAGTAAAAATATATGATGGAGCATGCTGCTAACCGCTCGAGTATGGTTGGGCATGGCAGACGGTGGAGCTCAAGGTGCGGATGTGCTGCTCGGGGTGCGCGCGGGTGGTGAAGCACGCGCTGACCAAGCTGCGCGGGGTGGACAGCGTGGAGGTGGAGGTGGAGATGGAGAAGGTGACGGTGACCGGGTACGTGGAGCGGCACCGGGTGCTCAAGGAGGTGCGGCGCGCCGGGAAGAAGGCCGAGTTCTGGCCCAACCCGGACCAGCCGCTGCACTTCACCACCGCCAAGGACTACTTCCACGACCAGGAGTCGTTCCGCCCCAGCTACAACTACTACCGCCACGGCTACAACGGCGACAAGCACGGCCACCTCCCGGAGCCCCACCGCGGCTCCGACCCCGTCAGCAACATGTTCAACGACGACGACGTCAACGCGTGCTCCATCATGTAGTAGCAAATCATCCTCTGGAGGTCGTCTAGTGCTCTCGGCGCCGGCCGGGGCCGGGGAAGATAGACAAGTGGGCCGCGTGCTCTCTGCTCCTGTAAAGCTAGCGTTGTGGTATGGACGATGGAATGATCAGTGGTGCCCTCTACGGGCTACACAACGTAGTACGTGCTGTCGAATATCGATCGATGATGCCTCTGCATGTTCTTCTCTGCCGCGATCGAGATTCCAAAATTCACGCGTGCGAGCCGATTCAAGCCAATGGCAACGGGGCGTGTGAGATGAGCTACAGGGGAAAGCGTGCGTGCGTGCGTGCGTGCAACTTTTTCGTTGCTGTTTGGCGCGGGGGGTAGCGTAGTAGTAGGAGTAGTAGGTTTGGTCGTTGGTGATCGTGATCCGTGGCTAGGGCAGTTAAATACTGCTTCTGCGCCGCGCGCTTGATTGGAAATTTGGATGATGGCGCGATCGATTGTAAAAGCCTTGGAAGTGGGGAGGATAGGTGTTCTTGATGTCTCAAATTTGGCACCAGCGGACAAAGTGCAGCCGCCAGCAATACTGTTCCGGCTAAAAGTGTAGACTTGTCCTTCTTTCTTTTTCTTCTTCGAGGGAAAGAGCAGGGTTGTCTTTGCGGGGAAAGATTCTGCAAGTGGTTTTTTAGCCGGGTTGCTAGTGGTAAGTGCAAACAAGTGCAAAGTTGTAAGCATCCATGGCAGGAGGGGGTAAGGGCATCTCCAACGCCGACCCTTAAAACGCCTACAACCGTCCGGACCATGCGGTGCACATCAAGAAACACCAAGAAACCCGATTTTTTTTTGAAACTATGATAATTTTTATAGTAAATTCGGAAACTATACACCCTAATGGAGAAAAATCAAAAGTATCACCCCGTCGGCCTTCTGTTGGCCGAAAAGGGACTTTTCGGCCTCCTGTTGGCCGAAGAGGGACTTTTCGGCCAACCGTTGGCCAAAAAGGACTTTTCGACCAAGCTTTGGCCAAAAAGTACTTTTCGGCCAACAGTTGGCCAAAGAGTCCCTCTTCGGCCAACACCTGCTCTACTGTTTAAAAAAATTCATATCAAATATGATTTTTAGTATTTTAATTTGATTCTTTTTGCATTAGATTAGAAATTTTATGAAGTTTCTGTAGATATCAAGTTTGACTAGATTTGAAAGTTTGAATTTAATTTTTTCATGAATTTGCTCAAATAACTAGATTGCCTATAATTTGAGTTAGGAGTATTTTTTAAGATGATTCTTTTTGCTACTGGTTCTTTGTGAATTTGTTTATCAGTAGTAATTAATTGAAGAATTTTATAATTATTTAAAATTAGGTTTTTATGAAAACAGTTCTGTTTTAGTGTTTGTTAGGTTTTATGCTATTTCTTTTAATTTTAATTGCTTAAAAAAATTTCTTTAGTTTTTTGACATATTCTTTTTGTTTCTGTTTAGTTATCAGTAGCTATTTTATTTGTAGTATTTTTTTGTATTTTATTTCTTTTATCCTACTAGAAAACTTGTTTTGAGCTTCATAGGAGTTTATATTTAAAAGTGCCTTGTAAATCCTGTACAACCATTGCCGTTTTATACATGAAAAAAAAAACTTTCCCGCAATCTTTTTTCCTCCATTTTCTTTGCCGCCATTTTATTTCCCGCCATTCTCTCCCGCCACACTAAGGAGTGCTGCATCTACGGAGGATGACGATGATGCCTTCATGTGGAGTGTGAAACACTGTGTGAGAGAAGTCATAAGTGTGAAACACTCTCCGATGATGATGACGAAGCTGCAAACACTTATGACTTCTCTCAGACAGTGTTTCACACTCCACCAGCAGCACCGACGCAGGAGACACAGACCGTGTCAGACGATGTTATCTACGATCGTGGACACCATGAGGCTCGTTTTATAAGTTGAGAAGTGAAGATGGCGAGAAAGAAGATGGCGGGAAAGAAGATGGCGGGAGAGAATGGCGGGAAAGAAAATGGAGGGAGAGAATGACGTAAAAACCTAATTTTAAATAATCCTAAAATTCACCAATTAATTACTACTGATAAACAAAGTCACAAAGAACTAGTAGCAAAAAGAATCATCTAAAAAGAATACTCCTAGCTCAAATTATAGGCAATCTAGTGATTTGAGAAAATTCATGAAAATTCAAATTTAAACTTCCAAATCTAGTCAAACTTGATATCTACAGAAACTTCATAAAATTTCTAATCTAATGCAAAAAGAATCAAATTAAAATACTAAAATCCTATTTTATATGAATTTTCTAAAAAGTAGAGCAGGTGTTGGCCGAAAAGTACTCTTTGGCCAACCATTGGCCGAAAAGTCCCTCTTCGGCCAACAAGAGGCCGAAAAGTCTCTTTTCGGCCAACAAGAGGCCGACGGGGTGATACTTTCGATTTTTCTCCATTAGGGTGTATAGTTTCCGAGTTTGCTATAAAAATCATCGTAGTTTCAAAAAAAACCAAGAAACCCTCTCCCTCGCTCGCGCGTGTTCCAGCCAAACTTTAGTCAGCGCTGCATTCATGCCGGTTCAAATCGGATGCAGCCTATCATTGGAGCCGACATTGAAGCGGCACACCGGCCGAGAGCGCCCACGCGCCGCTTTCCAGTGCACGACTTCTCTTTCCGCATTCAGACATCGGTCCGTGTGCCTCCCTCCATTAAACGTACGCGGTTGCCAAGGAACCTACTCCGGCATCACTCGTTCGTTCGTCTGCCCCCCGCTATTACGGACCTGTCGCCTGCCCTGCCCTTTGCCCGCTATTTAACTCCCATAGGCCGGCAACACATCCGCATTCATTCACCCTCTTCTGCTCTATATCTCCTCTCCGCACCACACCCGCCATGGCCTTCTCAAGCTTCAAAGCCTTGTGGGACGAGCTCTCGTCCAAACAGAAGGAGAAGATCACCACCATTACAGTCAACTGGCAGGGCGCCAGGCGGACGAGCTCACCAGAGGCTAGCGCCGCGGACGCGCCAATGGCAGAGGCGGCCGACGACGAGCCGGTGTCCGCGCCGGCTAATGCTAGCATCACTATGGGTGAGGCCCGTGCTCACTATATGGACATGATGCCGCAGGAGCGGGAGGCGGCGTTCTGGCAGGCACAGGCCGACCAGGCCTACAACCTCCACCTCCTCGACGAGCATCAAGGCGTAGAGGAGCTACTTGCCGCCGGCACAGCCATCACGTCGAACGTGGACGCAGGCCTCTAAAATAATCTGGGAAAAGGGATGCTTATTTTAGAAGCCACCAAAATAACTAAGCCTAAGAGCAACTCCAGTCCATGCTTGAAAAACCGTGAAGTCCAATAGTAGCAGCTTTAGGAGAAATACATGTCCAATTGATATTCAAAAATCTGTTAGTGCCCAAACAGTTATGGGTTATAGCCAAAAACCAACCCCGCAACCTAATATATTGGGACAAAGCAAACTTTTTGGCAAGGCCAAAACCGATCCGAGGCATGCACACTAGTGGCATGGGCAAAGAATTGGTGGGAAGATCCAAGGTGCACCAATCCTATTCCATGCTTAACGCGTCAAATAGAGACCAATTTCACACCCACCTAGACCGTTCGCATGGTATTGGGTTTTACAATCATCCCTAAACCATTTTGTTTTCCTTTTTAGTCTGTTTTGTTGGCTTTTTATTTCTGTTTTATTTATAATTTTATTCTCCATTTTCAGACTTCAAAATTCTTGACATTTTTTGAATCCATGAAAAATAATACTGTTTTGGAAATATTATTCAAATTCGTGGAAATTTCTTATAATTTGACATCATTTTGAAAATTGATGAACTTTTAAACAATTTAAGAAATAATTTTTCAATTGAGCACATTTTTACAAACTTGGACAACAATTTTTTAATCCCTAAACATTATTTAAAATTCCCGAACGTCTTTTGAATTCATAAAATATTTTTCAATAAATTCACAAGCATTTTTAAAATTATCTAATACTCCCTACATACCAAAATAAGTGACACAACTTTGTAAATGTTGGGTCACTTATTTTGGGACGGAGGGAGTATTTTTCATTTCTGCAAACATTTTTACACATACGCAAAAACATTTTTTTAATTCATAAACATTTTTTGGCCAAGAAATTTTTTTGATTTAATAATTTTTCTAGCTGGACAAAACATTTTTAAAATACATGAACATATAAATCAATTTTGAACATGATTTGATTTCATGAACATTTGTTTGAATACGTGAATTATTATTAAATTTGAGAAGTTCATTTAGTTCATAATGTTTTTTAAAAGATTCAAATATTTTCGGAAATTCATATTATTTTGAAAATTGACAAACATTTTTTGAATAAGGATTAAATGGCCCTATGAGTTTAGAAAGTTAGGA